AGATTTATTTTGGAATTAGAAATTAAGGGTCCAAATGGCTTAAGGAAGTAAAATTGAGAAGTTGAATCAATTTAATTTTAATTACGGACCCATTTGGGAGTTTAATTAAATATTCGATTCAGTTTAGTAAAATTGAGATTCGATTAATTAGGTCCTAATTGGAGTTGATTAAGTCATGAGGATTGAGAATTGTGGTTATTATAAATTAAATTTAATTATGATGTGTCCAATTTGAATATGTAATTTATTGATAAAAATTTGAGTCTGATCAGAAATTGAAGGCCTAAATGATTTGGGAAATCAAAATTGATAATGAAAATAAATTTAATTTAATATTTGGAGCCTTTTGGGAGTCTGACTAAAAATCTGATTCAGATTGATAAAATTAAATATAATTAATTGGGCCTTAATGGAAGTCAAACTAAACTTATTAAATTATGTGGGACTTATGATTTGTTATAATTAATGTAACTATTTGTTGATCAAGATTTATTAAGATTAAGTGTTAATTAAATTAACTCTACACATAAATTAATTTGTGGAAGAATCTAGAATTAAAGGGTGTAAATGAGCATGGGTGTATTCAGCAAATTAGTGGGTGTGTATATGTGTGTGCACGTGTAAGGCTGTGTAAGGCTGTGGTCAAAAGGTGAACTGTGCATGTGTGTGCTGGTGAGTTCAAGATGAGGGTAATTTCCTTGGGGCCAAAACACACATTCAGTGAAGTGAAGAGAAAGAGTTAAGGGAATTTAGAGAGAGAGAGAAACAGCCGAGAAAGAGGGAGAGTGTAAAAAAAAAATTCTTGGAACTCATTTGCTGGAAATTGAGTAGGAAAGCTAAGAGAAAAGCTAGGGAAAAGTGGAGAAGTGAAGAAAAGTTCAAGAATTGGCCAAGAAATTCATCAATTTGAAGACTTAAGGTAATAAATTGAGACTTAAATTTTGTAGATAATTTACTCACAAGCTGAAATTAAAGGGTAATTGGGTTTAATTTCATGACATAAGAAAGGAATGTAGAAGGTTTGAGTTAAGTTTGATAATTAAGAAATTGGTGTTGTGATTAAATATTTGAGTTTGATTTTCTTCATCCGTCACATATTTGAAGTTTATCATTACATGCATTGTAAATTTTCAAGATTTTAGAATTTAATTCATATTTTAAAGTTTATGAACTTGAGATTTTCAAAAACATGTTTGTATTACTTTTCTCTCTACTACACATCAATCAATCAATTTTTCTCTCTCATCTCTCATTCTCAATCACTTTTTCTCTCACACTTATCTATTCAATTACAAAAAAAATTATGGTAGCGTTTGGTAGAGTTTTGTAAATGTGATTTGAGAGTATGAGTTGTATTTTGAGTTTGTGTGTTGTGGAGTTATGATTTGAGTGTAGAAAATTTGTTTGGTAAAGAGTTTTGATAATAGTTTTGGAAAAGAGGTTTGATTTGAGTGGGGAATTATTGATGTGACATTTGATATGTGATACAAAAATTTACAACTCATAACTAAACATACAATTCAAAATTATTTTAAAGCACATAAAAAATTAAAAAAATTTCAGAAAATATTTTTTCCGATTATATAAATCAATTGCAAAAAAAAAAAAAAAATTACTGTTCCGGACAGCCGGCCGGTCAACCGGCCGGACGACCGGCCGGACGTCCCCTTAGCAAAAATTTTGAAAAAAAAAACAGAGCAAAAGAGCGGCTGAGACAGATTTGGTACAGAGCTCTCAGCAGAGCTTTTGAAACGTGATTACAAAATCCTAAACAAACATCATACTGAAACACAGGTGTAGAATCACGTTTCAAAAGCACAACCAAACACAGCCTAAGTTTATGGAAATTTTGGCGTTAATCCTAAAGTTAGACAAGTTCTTGATTTTACTATGAAAGACAGGAATTGGTTTAATTTTAATTTAAAAGTTTTATTTAAATTAAAGAGTATGAGTTTATGAAAGATTAAACATTGATTTAATTTTGAATATAGAAAATTAATTAGTTTTAATCTCAATGTCACACATGCAAATACTTTCCTAAGAGTCATATAACTTCAATTTCATGTACATTAAAAGGAATTAGTAAAATGGTGTAGAAATTGAATTAGATTCAAAATCATAGAAGTTAATTTGAAAAGAACCATTTTGGGTTTGAATTTATTTTTCTTATATGAAATTGAGTTTCAATCACACATGCATCATGAATTTGCAAGAGTTTTAGGAGCCTAATTCATGTTTTAAAATTTGTGGGTTTGATGGGGAGAAAATGAGTTAAAACTAAATTTGGACAAGTGGAGCATGATTTTGAATAAATGATTTCTAATTGAGAGTGTTTACTAAATTATACAATGATTCTCCATTTTTGTGTACCAAAATACATATTTTGAGGCTTTGAACATCAAATTTGAACTTCAATTACAATTCTAGAAATTTCAGAATCTACGCTGTCCGCTCGAGCGAGGAAAGTCTCGCTCGAGCGTGAAAATCGAGCTCTTAGAAGTTTTTCAAACTTTATAGTCCGCTCGAGCGACCAAAGTGGCGCTCGAGCGGAGACCCCATTTTCAGCATATTTTGAAAAGTTACATTTAGGTCACATTTTTATTCTCATCTCTTTCCGAAGCATTCTGGACATGATTTATGATTCAATAAAGATTAATAAGCTACCAATCACATAGATTAGTTAGTTAAAGAATGAATTATTGATCTAGTGGTAATTGTTTAAGAAGCCAAGTAAAAGATCAATCTATTTGGAAGAAGGACTTAGTAATGAAAGAATATGTGAAATAAGAACCTGGCTTATTTGAATGAGAAAGAATCAGTATAGTAGAACTTCGGACTATTTAGACGGAAAAAGACTAGAAAAGTCAAGTTTGATCAAGGAAGGTATTTCAACGGGTTTATGTTATGTGCTTGTGTAGGTCACGCGCCATTGTCTGCCTGGTTTATCTGATATGTCCAGTTTGTGTGATTTGCTTCTACAACTATCTGTGAGTAATAACTTAGTAAAGTTATGTTCAACTGTATCTATTTTCTGTGTGACAAAATGAGATCTGTTTCCTGAAATGATATATTCTGTACAATGAATAATTGTCCAATTTCTGTTATGTATTCGTGACATCCTTAGCATCATGTGATATCTGTTGGCTGTTACCTGGTATCGGAGGTTCCTTTATGGAACTTAATTCTGTCAGCACTCTATTACCCGTATCGGAGGCCCCGTCATGGGGGCTTAGCGTATCTCTACTCTGTTACCCGGATCTGGAGGTTCCTTTATGGAACTGGTTATTCGTAACCCTCACGTGTCTGTATCTACTCTGTTAATGCTAATGGATGTATCACGTATATTTAAGCATACCTCATGATTTCTGTATATGATCTGGACAAATTATGAATTTGATATGAAACTGAATTATGATTTCTGAATCTGTACGGACTCATTCATTGAAACCCCTTTACTCTGTTATTGTTCACTGAGCTTTCGCTCACAGTTTATATTATGTATGTAGGTGAGCCGGCGCGTGATCAGGGCCAGAGTTGACGGCCTTCATTTCTATTTTTGTCAGCCAACCGTTGTGCCTCCTGTGGAGGTTCCGGATATGTCAAGTGATTGTTGCTATGTGATTTAAAGTTTTAGTTCTGTTTTCTTGTTTGGTTAAACAAGTCTTGTGTATTTTGTAAAAGAGGCTAAGTCCTTTTTGTCTGATCTGTATATATATTATGACGTAGGGACGATGTGTATACATGTATATAAAAAATTAAAATTTTTCTATCTCATATAAGTCTGCACAGCTCAATGGACGTTGTATATTTGTTATTTGCTTTTTCTAGCCCCTAATATTATGTTAATCTGTCTCAGAGGCCTTCGGTAATCTCAGGATTACTAGCTGGTTACGATGCTAAACCTATAGGGGCGGGTTTGGGTCGTGATAGTGTTGGAGGAGCGAGCTCACCGTAGAGAGATCCAAAGATTGCTGGTGTTGCAAAGGCTGAGCCCCCAAAACCGTTGCAGTGAGGAAGTGGCGATGCTGGCACCTAGAATGATAGCCCCAGCGCCGATAGACAGAGAGCTAGCAAGACTTACCGTTACTCCACTGTCCCCAGAGATCGAGAGCATACCACTCCCTGCCAGATTCCACCAACTTAAGTTCACGCTGTACGACGGCAAGACGGATCCATACATGCACGTGAGTCATTACCGGCAAGTAATAACTGGCCACCGGCGCAATGACGCCTTGATGTGTCTCATATTCCCAGCAAGTTTGGGAGAACTGGGCCTGAAGTGGTTTGAAAAGCTTCCAGAGGGGAGCATCGAAGGGTGGCAGCAATTAGCAGAGCCCTGTGTCACCAGGTTCAAGACCAATACTCGAACACCGAAGGAGGTCGATCACCTTCTGAGCATTAAGATGGAGTCTGGAGGTTCTTTAAAGGCATACAATGCCAAGTATTGGGAAACCTACAATGAGATCCTCGATTGTCCCACCAATCTGGCGATCGCCCAATACAAGCAAGGTCTTCTAGTCGAGCATAGGCTACAAGACTCACTCACGATGCATCAGCCCACAACCATGGAGTCCTTAATGCAGTGGATCGACGAGCATATCCGAGTAAAAGATGATGCCGCCACCATCACCGCAACTAAGAAGGCAAATTCCTTTGCGGCAGACAAAAGGGTGGCTGGAAAGGTTCACTCTGAAGGGAAGGCGGACAACCGCCCCAATAACTGAGCTAGAGATCAACATCGCGGTTCAAACCACAATGATAGAAACAAGAGCCAAGGAAACGACCAAGCTAATGCTTTTCGAAGTGAAGAGGAAGATGCCAAGAGGAAGTTGAAAGCACAGACCGGCATCACCACTGTCTTTAAGATCTCAATTTATCGCATTCTCAGTGAAATCCGAGGTGAGCCATACGTGCGTGGCCTGCCAAATTGGGAGACACGCAGAGAGGCTTTAACTCGAGGTACCGCTGCACCTTCGATGAAGAAAAAGGGTATCGAACGGAGGACTGTGCACCGCTCAAGCAACATTTGGAGGAGCTGGTTGTAGCTGGGCATTTGGAGTAGTACATTGACGAGGGCATGAGGGCTGCTCCACAAGGGCAAGCCGAGCCAAACGGTCTTGCCGCCCTGGACGCGGTGCCCCAAGGAGTGATCAGTGTTAATTATTGCATCATCGAGCCAGTGTGGGTTTGCGAGCTGATGGGGATGATCAAGAATGCCAAGCACATGAGGGAGGTGCTCGCTGTTCAGTCCGCCGTGAAGAAACGAAAAATCGAGATAAAGGATGTCTTAACTTTTTCAAGCAAAGACTTGGAAAGAATACAAACGCCTTATAATGACGCCCTAGTTGTGACTCTTTACGTAAAAGACTTCAACATTAAAAGAATTCTGATTGACCAGGGAAGTTCAATCGAGATCATGTACTATGACGCGTTCAAACATATGAAATTGGACGACAAAGACTTGGCTCCAGCAACGTCTTCTTTGGTTGGCTTCAACTCTCAACTAGAATGGCCAATCGAAAAAATCATATTGCCGGTCAAAGCTGGGTCGGTCACGAAGCAAGTGGAATTTTGGGTGCTTAAGGTCCCATCAACCTACAACTTAATCTTGGGAAGGGGCTGGTTGCATGCCATGCAGGCAGTAGCGTCGACTTATTATCGGGTCTTGCGCTTTCTAGTGCCAGACGGGCAAGTAGAAGAGGTTTGGGAAGACCAAGTAATGGAAAAATAGTGCTTCGTTGCAGTAAATGGCAGCCGGGTTGCCGAAGGCTTCATTCAAATGATAAAAGGATCAGAAAGAAAGGAAGTCCTAGAAGACGTGAGAAGAAAATTCGAGGAGAAATCGGTTGAAGATTTGGTGGAAGTGCGCGTTGATGAGAATGATCCAAGTAAATTCTTTGTTTTAGGATCATCTTTGTCCAGCACCGAGCGGCTCGATTATGTCAATTTTTTGATTTCCAACATGGAGGCCTTTGCATGGACGCCTTATGATATGCCTGGCGTCGACCTTAGCTTCATTTTCCACCAGTTGAATGTCTTTCCAAATGCACGACCGATCATCTAGAGGACGCGGCGATCGACCTTGCACCATGCTGAGATAGTGATGGAGGAGGTCAAGAATTTGCTGGAAGTGGGGGCAATAGAAGAAGTACAGGACCCCAGATGGATCTTTAATACGGTGGTAGAGCCGAAGAAGAACGGTAAATGATGGGTGTGCGTCGATTATAAGACAGTCAACCATGCGTGCCTAAAGGACAGTTTCCCCCTCCCTAGAATCAACCAGCTAGTGGATCTAACCGCTGGCCATCAAAGGTTTAGCTTCCTGAATGCATATCGCGACTACCACCAAATTGTCATGTGCGAACTAGACCGAGAGATCATTTCGTTCACCACTCCAAGAGTAAGTAAGATTTGATTGATTCATGTCTCTTTGAATGTGTTATTTTTGTAGATGTTGCAACACTCTATTCATTATTGGCTCTCTGTTACCTCGAATATATTCTCTAATGAAGTTTCTGATATGATGGCAGATATAGTGTTTGCATGGATCCACTGATGGACTGGACAGTATGTTTTATGCTCATCTTTCTGCAATAACTACAGTTTCTTCTTGATGATGTTTTGCTCTTACATGTTTTCTTCCTCACAGATATGTTGCAATCATGAATGCAATATTCTCAGCTCAACGTCAATGGTATCGTGCAATGTAGACTTTTAGTATTTTTATTCCCCATATTATACACATCAAATTTTTATTGATTTGCTTTGAATTAATATTTATGTTAGTGTTGGTACTGTACTTGGTTTTTGATTGTGCTTTATGGGGTTTCTCTTGCCAAGTTCTAAGTACAAAAACTCCTTTAGGTGAACACGAAAGCATAGAATTGTCTATAGTTTTCTTTTGTTGTTATCATTGTTATTGTCTGCTTCTGTTCCCACATTATTCCATTGGGCTCATGAAATACACTTCTATTTATCATTAATGTGTGAAAATAAAGATCTCTGTTCTTTAATTCAGTAACACAGCTTTTAGTGTAACCAGGCCTTAGTTTTGTATTTTCTAAATTTATGTTATGAACCTTCTGTTTATTGGTGATTTGATTTGGGAATTTTGACTTAATAGGAATAGGTGTTATTTTGTCACGTAACAAAACATGACAAAACACTTGCTAGGGTGTTTTGTCAAGGGCTTGATTAACATTGTTATCTGTACTAAAGTAGCGATCTTCAAACTCCTCCATGCCTGGGATCACATGTGAATCCTTGTTCAGTGACATGTCAATCTCCCATGTCACAATTTTTAGCTTTGGGAATTTCTTACAAACATGTCTTCCTTCAGGAGCCTGCGTCGTAATTTCAAAATTTTCAAAAATGAAATATAAACTATTAATAATTCTGTAGAACTTAAAATTGTCTGGAGAGAGAACAATTAAACAATTCTCTTATCTAGGTGCCTGCTGTTTTTTGATTTTTATATCTATACTTCAGAGAGAATGTTGACTCTTCAAACAAATCTCTATTAAAATTTGTTTAGGATGTCTGAGAAGCCCAAAACTTCTGAGAGAATTGATGAGCAGTATTTCTCAAAAATTGTGGAAGACTTCAGCAGCCGAGCAATGAAGCTGGAAAGCGACTTGTTCAGGTATGAATCAAGTTTTCCATTCATGAAAACAATTTTTAGAAACTATTGTCTTGTATCAATTGAAAGATCAAGTATGCTACAGAGACCTGTACATGAAAATGTACCCTACACATGCAGCTTACCAAACCGTATTTTGTGCTCATCATAGAACTTAACATGTGTTTCATCATTTTTTTCTTTTGATTTGTATTTGTTTTGATTCGTTACTACCAATCAGTATACATGGCATGGGTTACATAAATTTACCCATGAAACCAAAATTAGAGCTGAGTAGCCAAATGCAACAAGACAGCATCAATTTGTGATGCAGATTAAACAAGACAGCATCAATTGTAGACATAAGAGTGGAATACCAGGAAATAGAGAAGTTCTCTGTCATCAACCGTTTTGCGAAGTTCCACTGCCAGGGGCAATCAGATGCAGCAGAGACCTCATCATCGGGTGGCACAACTCCAACTGCACTGAAATCATGTCCACAAAGATATGTCACTGCATTTCCCATTCCTAGGACAGTGCCTGAAGGAGCACCATGTCTTTCACTTTGATCACTGATGATCAATCACTTCACCTCTTGCATGCCCCTTCGATCCATACTATGTTTTCCGTTGCCTCTGTCTGCTGCAGCCTGTAGTCTTTTTTCAATAACCTCAATGCCGGTGCACAAGAAAAAGAATGAAAAGGGCACCCCCCAAAAAAAAAAGAAAAAAAAGGGGGAAAATTTGGGGAAGGGGAACTGCTAGAAATTGAAGCCGTTTGATCTTTTTGATCAAGCCCGGTTGTTGTCAATTTTGAGGAAGTATATATTGTTCTTAATATATTTTCATGAGAATTTAAGGAGATTCATGGAGTAACCCAATCATCTTTCCTAGGGTTGTTACATTAATCAACTAAATTTACATGTATTTCATATGAATTTCTGGTAGCTGTGGCTTTGCAGCCATTCTTCTTCTTCTTCTTCCTTTTTTTCCAGGGTTGGTAGAAGAGTTGGCATCATGAAGAAAAACAGGATAATTGGCAACTAAATGAGGCACGGTTTCAGAGGTACCCTTTGGCTCTATTTGATAGCAATGTCGTTTAAAAAAGAATCTATCTACTAATGAGCATCTTAAATGTATTGGTTAGTAAAGCATTTGAGGGTTGTACATTCTTCAACTATCCATTTTTA